TAAATTCCTTGAATTGGTTATAACGAATTCAACAAATCTATAATAACAGATTAAATTCGTTATAACGAGTTCAACAAATCTGTAATAACAGATTAAATTCGTTATAACGAATTCAATAAATCTGTAATAACAATTTAAATTCGTTATAACAAATTCAATGAATCTGTATTAACAAATCAATTTCGTTATAACAAATTCTAAAAGGCTGTAATAACAAATAAAATTCGTAAAAACGAATTCTAAAAATCTGTTATAACTAATTAAATTCGTTATAACAAATTCTAAAAAAAACGTTATAACGAATTCAAAAATATTTTAGATAAGTCCTAAATGGGCTTCCGTAGATTAAGGTTCTGATTTGCAGAAAAAACATGACGCGGAAAAAACCTGATATACGGTATTAAGTGATTCTAATGTTAAGCGATGGGGTAAATGTCTCGCTGTGCAGGCCATAATACAGAGGCGACATAAGCCTATACATGTACTTACTAATGACGCTGTCAATACCCGAATTCTTTCAAAACACTCTAATGAAAAGCATAAAGATAAATAAGAGACATATTATCCTCAAACCCTATTAAAATTTGCGCAAAAATCTCCCATAGTTTGAAGTTTGAAGTATATACATGTACAGCAATATACTTTCATCACCTGTACACTGAGTTTATATATTTAAGTTGATTCGCTACGCAAGAGCGCTAGCATACCATTTATCACTGAATTAAATTCTGATTGACTTCTTTAATACTATTTAGTAAAGACCATTATTTATACACTGAACGGAAGACGGATTTTCCCGTTATTTTTCGATCATGGCAAGGAGCACACAGCGGGTGTGACCAGTCAGCAGGGGATGCTCACTCCTCCACGACAATTAATCCCGATGTTTGGAGGTAAATGTCTGCTTTGCTCCTCTTTTGTATTGTTTTATGGATTTTAAATCTGGAATACTAATCGTTTTTTCCATTTGTTTCATTTTAATTTTGTTTCTTTAATTTACGGCACTGAGGGCGTTATTTATTGAACATCCCTCGTATAAGAAAATTGAGTCTATTTTACATGTATTTTGAAAAATTCTTTAAAATAGATTACATAGCGATATTTTTCGTCTATTCACTCAAGTGTGGAATATAACAGAGCTTCAATGCCCTCCTTCATTCTATAAAGCAAAAATCGTGATGAGAATATGACATATATAAGCAGGGTAAGATCTGGAGATAAAAGCAAGGTAAAATCTAGTAACAAAAGCAGGGTAATATCTATTGACAATAGCAGGGTAAGATCTAGTAACAATAGCAGGGTAAAATCTAGTGACAATAGCAGGGTAAGATCTAGTAACAATAGCAGGGTAAAATCTAGTGACAATAGCAGGGTAATATCTATTGACAATAGCAGGGTAAGATCTAGTAACAAAAGCAAGGTAAGATCTAGAGACAAAAGAAGGGTAATTTTTTATGATAAAATGCAGGTAATATTTTGTGATGAAAGCAGGGTAGGATTTTGTGATAAATACAGGGTAAGATTTAGTGATAAAAGCAAGATAAGATTTGGAGACAAAAGCAGGGTAATGATTCTGCCTAAAGCAGGGTAAGATTTGGTGACAAAAGCAGTGTAATATTTTGTGATAAAAGCAGGTTAATATTTTGTGATTAAAGAAGGTTAAGATTTGTTGACAACAGCAGGTAATAATTCGGTTATATCAACAGGGTATGATCTAATGAATCTCGTGTGAATGTGTTGCCACTTTCTCTTCGGTATAGAATTAATTCTCAATATGAACAACTTACGTCCTTGTTGGAAATAGTTTATTTAAGGAATGAAGCTTATTTCAACTTATGTGCATAAACTGCCCCAAGTTTTGTTATATCGGATAACATAAGTTGAAATAAGCTCCATTTCTTATAATTTAATTTCGATGTAGACAATGAGACAATATTTCCTCCAGAAAAGGGCTTCAAAGTGAGCATTATTTTAAAAGTATCGTCAAGCGGAGTGATACGTTTTTGACGTTACTCATTGTGACGTAGGCAAGTTATGTTAAACGAAATGGATAAAACTGATTAACCAATCAAATGATGCATTACAAGAGAAATTAAGTTATATACAATGGCTGAGTTCCGCAATGTCTTATTTCTGGAGTTATCTCTCTTGAAAAATCGCTAGATGTCGCCAACACATTGACTTCCGGGGCGTTTGTTGTTCAACTTGTGTTGTGTACTCACAGTACTGATAATTGCAATTTCTGCGTTAGACAAGGACATACCAAGGTAAGATTTGCGATATATCTGTATAATTAATTTATTTAAAGATTTATAACCATTATCTAAACGTGGTAAATGGTATACAAATAATAAAATATAAATGCTCAGCGTTTTCGCGTGGCATTTAAATATTCAACTGAATTGGCTATTGCAAGGTCTAAGATCGACCCTGTTCGAACCGAATGTAGATGACATTGAAATTATGATTTAATAACTGTTTAATATTAACAGTAATGTAATATTGTCGGAATAATTGAATATGTGACCATCCAACAGCGTTTAATTCTGAAAAAAGGGGGTGTCTTTATTAATCCGAGATTCCTCTGACTCTAACCCCCGCTTTTATTTTATGACGTTTGTCCGCACATGTCATAAAATAAAAGCAGGGGTTAGAGTCAGGGGAATCTCGGATTATGTCTTTATATGATATTGATATGATATCAATAATTGTTTACATAAATTACATCTTGGGATCCTAATTACATTCAATTTTTATGAAACCCTTTTAAGTTATTTGGGCACTGTGTGTTTTCTGAATCTGTATTAATATACAATATTGAATGTTTCAGAATGTCTTCAAGCACTGATGATGAAGGTGAACCATCTCACTTGTCTCTAGAAGAAATTCAGTCATGGAAAGTTGTTGAACTAAAAAATTGGCTTGAAAATCACAGGCTTAAAAAATCTGGGAATAAAGAGGTATTGGCAAAGAGAGTTTACAAAGCCATGAGGCATGGTTATGATTCATCAGAAGATTTCATAGATACAGATGAAGAAATAGAGAAAACTGTTCCTGTTCATCCTTCAACAGATTCATGGAAAGAACTTGACTCTACTGATATTCCTGAAATTTCTCATAAGGCCATTGATATTTATTTTAAATGTCATAAAAATCCTGTAACTGGAGAAAGGTTAAATTTCGAGAGACAAATGAAAAAAGCAAAGCGTCTGTGCAATGAAGGGTTCATAAGAGAAATTGAATACAATAAAGGAAACAGTGATTTTTGTTACATGCAATCAACTTGTCTTCCATCAATGAAACAGACTGTTCAAGTTGGATTTGGAAAAAGTGCTAAATATTATTCTTTGAATGTTTGTATAAAGAAAAAGTCAGGCATTGTTGTAAATGCTTTATGTAATTGTAAAGCCGGAGAGGCAGGTCTTTGTGCTCATGTTGGAGCATTATTGTATGTACTTGTAAAAACAAAAAATTCCTGTACATCTAATCAGTGTGTGTGGAATAGACCTACACCTTTGAGAAGAAAACCAAGTCCAAAAAGAGTTGGAGATATTAGTTTTTCAAAAACAGAAAAAGATAATATTGTAGACAAAGTTCGTCCTTTCCCAGGCATTTATAATCCTGGACCTTGTCAAAGTGAATGCAGCTCATTTTTGAATGATATTTTGGATGGCTTAAAAGATATTTACCCACAATGTGTCTTGTATCAAACTTTAAGAGCAGAGCATGTTAATATAGATTCCTTTTTGAATATTTTTTTGCCAGATTTTATGTATAGGGACAATGTAAATCTAAAATCAAAAGAATGTGTTGAAAATTTTAAATCTTTTGTAAACAATATGAATATAACAACAGAGGTTAGTGAACTGTTAGAAAAGGGAACTAGAGGTCAAAATTCAAATGTTAACTGGAGAAAGGCTAGATGCAATATCATTACTGCATCAGTAATGGGTGACGTTGTCAAAAGAGTAAAGTCCGAACCAGACAATTTAGTCAAGAAAATTTGTGGATACGTAGTAGTACCAGATTGTGTAAAAAGTATCAGTTATGGTCGAACAAATGAATCTGTTGCTTTGAGTGATTATATGGAGCGACATTTAAATTTGTGTGGTGATGTGAAGATCGAGTCCTGTGGACTATATGTCAACCCTAAGTACCCATTCCTTGGGGCCAGTGTTGATGGACTTGTTACTTGTGTAGAATGTGGTACAGGACTTGTCGAAGTCAAGTGTCCTTATGGAAAACAAAAAAGTCCTTGGAGGAATATGCCTCCGACAAAATGTGGACAAGATAAACATTTTTTTTGCACTGAAAACAATGGTGAACTTAAATTAAAACAGAACCATAATTATATGTACCAAGTTCAAGGCCAGCTAGCATTATATGAACTTAACTGGGTTGATTTTGTTGTTTATACAAAAAAAGGTATATCTGTTGAAAGAATTCTTTTTGATGTTGGAATCTGGAATGATATGGTTCCAAAGATGAAATCTTTTTATACATATGGTGTTGTACCAGAACTTTTCACTAGAAGAATTCAGCGAGGAAAATCACTGTACATGTATAACATTTGATGTACATTTGTTAATAATTTGAATATTGCATAGAATGATTCTATTTGATTTTGAACATGTGTACATAAAACTGTTAACACTCTGAAACTTTTATATTTGCATGAGAGCTTAGATTCATCTGTAAAAATATTGAATAAAAACAAAAAGGTTATGTGATTTATTTTATTTATCCACATCTCATTTATGATTTCAAGGTCCAAGTGTACATATTTCAAGTTTATTTTCAAATGAATGTTTGTATTTCACATCGAATCGTCAAAATTCACATCACCTTGAAAACCACAAAATGTGATATACTTTAAATGTGTTTTTTTAATCATGCATTTAAAAAAATAATTCCTGGAAAGTAAATTTCCTCATAACAGGAATAAAAATAATTATACATGTTAGGGCATCCAGAAAAAAATCTAGTTAATTATATTTATGTCACTTCAGAAGTGGAGGCAATAAGTTAGTTAAAGATGTACAGATAACTATAATTTGTTCTGATAAGTGCACTTCTGAAATTGGTAAAACTGAGTTCACAATATTGTAGTTTTTGATCTGTTCCATCTTCATTTCAACTACTATTCTGGCTGAAGCTATTCTATTTGTTTTAAAGAAATCATGTTTTGACATCTGGCATGTACTTGATACTCGTGGTGGAACATTCAATCCAACATCAGCTGGTAACAAATCTTCTATTGTGAAACCTTTATCTGCCATTACAACATCACCTGGTGACAGTTTTGGAAGAAATCCATCGTGCTGAGTAATGTGTCTGTCTGACACATTCCCACCCCACAGTCTTGACACAAAGGTTACCATACCACTTGGTGACACACCAATCAATATTTTAAAAGTGTTTGAATGTTTGTATTCGGACCACGTCATCCACTGTGCCTTTAAAGAGGACGGTTTTTCAATAAAAAATTCTGTGCAATCAAGCACAATTCTAGTATCTGCGTGCATGCTAAAAAGCTTTGGTAAGTTACACAAAATCTGCTCTCTGGAGACCCACTTTATTAAGGATTTGCAGTGATCATAGAGGAAGTTAATCCAAGTGTTCATTACTCGTGATACTGTCGTTTCGGACACCCTGAAAATATCAGCAAGGTGTTCCTGAAGCAGCCCTAAACGAAGTCTCATGCAAACCATCAAGAATTCATCCACTGGTCTCAAAAAACGTTTTCTGCCAGGCTTTTTAACCCCTGGTTCATGATACGACTTCTCACCCATGGACCTTGTCTCTCCCTCCCAGTAATTGAGTTTCTCTGCACCATGTTTCTGCCTCAGCACTGCAAAAAACATCCAAAAAATTTGAAAAGTTGCAAAACCTGTATAAAATCTTGTTTTAGAATCGTCATCTTTCATATCTTCATATGTCATCCTAGGCAAATCTGCCTGAACTTCAGCATTAACAGTAGACAAAGGGCTGCCAGTCGTCTGGGTTGCAGTTGAAACATGTACACAATGCTCTTCTGTATTTGTGTACGCATCTTTTGAATAAAAATATTTGAGGTCAGTTTGTATTGCAACATCATTGTACATTGACACAGGATTATCTTGTGGATTTTCAGTATCACTTTGCCCTGAACCATCATTTTGAAATGAATTTTCAATTTTTCTTACAAGAGGTCTTCGGGATTTTGTTTCCTTTTTGGGTTTACTTGGAAAAATTGTGGGAATCGATTCCTCAGTAAATGTTCCCTCAAAATGAACACTGCAAACTCGTGTGTGGTCTTTTACAACCAAATTTGCTCTCACATGTCGAAGTCGCTGAATCCAGAGACGCTTAATATGGGCCTTTTTCTCCGACATAGGGAAGCGATGCAATATTATTTTATTTCCATATTCATCCAATGTTTGAGAAGTGTTGCTGTATCCAGGAACGCAGCAATATTTCTTCCCCATACTGGAAAATAAAAAGTACATTGTAAAGTACTTAAAAAGGAATTTTTTTTCAAAAAAAAATGTTACAATTGACATTCATGTCCTTTTAAAATAAATTATGTTATGAATTCAAAATTATTTACATGTTACTGAATTGTTTTGCGAATTAAACAATGCCTTTTACACAACGGGGGGGGGGGGGGGGGCAATGTTAGATTTTCTTATGAACACAACTTGACAGCTGTAAATATTCATTCCTCGTCGAATAAAAATAAATTCTATACTTTAAAAAAATAGATATATGTATATAGACCTTTATAAATATTGACATTTTTTTTTTCTAGAATATACTAGATCCTTATGGTTGTTGCATGTGTATTAGATTCAAGAACCAACTCTGTACTGCTTTTATATTAATATGCATCGTAAACCAGTGTAACATCCTAAATACGACCGCTATTTAAATCCCTTACCTGGCTTGTCAGTGTCCTCGATACCGATAGTGTGTATTTTCTCGACTCTTCTTGCTTCAGCGATTTTGTTGCTTTGTGTATTGACGCCCCGGAAGTGGAGAGCTTCACAGTTAGGGACGATAACTCGTATTAAAAAAACATTGCGGAACTTGGCCATTAGCAAAGAATGTCAAGTTCCCGTGTCTTCCAATGATAGATCTTGAATTTCTGTTTGTAAGATTATGACATAAGTATAGAATGACAAACGCAGGGTATAATTTAATGAGACTACTGTGAATGGTTTTTCACTCTCTCCCTGGTGAGGATCCCAGGTAGCACAAAACGTTTTCATAACATTATATTTCGGTTGTAAGGATGTTATTCCAAAACGTTTTTGACATAACGTTTGAAAAATGTTTTTATAACATTTTATCTAGGTTATAATGACGTTTTTAGAAAACGTTTCTCAAAAACATTTTAAAAATGTTTTTCATAACGTTTAATACTGGTTGGAAGGAAGTTTTTAGAAAACATTTTTGCATAACATTTATATAATTATAATAAGAATTTTTTTATTGCTTAAAAAGCATTATAAAAAATGTTTTCATATTTTATTGTTTGAAAAAAACTACTGGTATTCTTAAAACTCATAATATCATATTAAGAATATACACAGCTAAAATTTTAAGAATATTTTTTTTCAATTGAATGAAATTCATTATAAATTCCGATTACAAATGATACCAGAAAACATGAATATTACATTGTCTTAAAATGTTTGGAAAACGTTGTTAAAACGTTATAGAAACAATTGCAACAAATACTATATATTTCAATTTAAAAAAAAACCATACATTTAGCATTTATTTGTTTTTCTTTTTTATTAATACTAGGTGATATATGTAAGGAAAAAAAATAAACAAAAATGATTTTAATTCAGTTTTTTAATTGTTTTATATGCCCCATTGATTTCATAAAGAAAAAATAATGATTGCGAAAAATGTTTAAAAAGCCATTTTAAAGTATTTTTTCTAAGATGTGATGTGGTTCAACAAAGTAATACAGTGCATTTATTCACTTGTGTTGTTTCCTCCTGGATAACGTGTTTATCAAGGGTTAATTGATTGACACAGCGGGATGCCGTGGTCAGTGCTGATGAAACCGCTCCTCGCTGCAAACTATTTCCACGTGATCTACATACATGTAGGTCAACTTATCAAGATTTTGAAAAAACCGTCAGCATTCTTGTGAGACAAAGAACAGGATTTGGGGAACATTTTACATTACCGTAAGGTATGTTGAATTCAAAGTTGTATTCATCGTTGATACATGTATTAAGAAATAGTATCATAGCTGCATGTGTATGTATAAGTCCGAATTATTCCTTGTAAACAATGGTAAATGATCGTATATATATTCATATTTGGATAATATTGGTTGTTTTTGAAGTTAACAGATCATTGAAGTTTATCATGATTGTGCATTTGTATTACATATGTATTATGTCTTGTGTCTAGTGTGAATTTTCTTTATTAATGTGTACTTTAGTATAATTACCCAAGGCTTAGAGATAGATTTTCAAATTGTAAGCTTCAAAACATGATTTAACTAGAGTAGGTTAAGTTTGCGTGTATGTGTATGTGTGTGTGTGTGTGTGTGTGTGTGTGTGTGTGTGTGTGTGAGGGGGGGGGGGCTTAACGAGTTTGTTTAATACTTCTTTGGAAATGTAAAATGATTTGTATTTATATACAGTGTCATGTATTATATTTTTCAATTTACAATTCTCAAAATGAATATCTTTTTCCATTTTACAGCAGATGTTTTCAAAGACTAAATATTACATGTTATGAGAGGACTTGGACAGAATGAAGTTTGCTACATACCATCTTTGAGGGATTTGTAGGGGTATAAATTTTAAAGGTATGTTTGAAATTTCCTGACACCAATGCATAACAAAGATAGACTTATCATGTTTTTTTGGTATATTTTTTATAAAACTGTTGCCAAAAACATACACACTTTTCTTGTATTTATCAGATTTATGACTATGTATTGTTTTTAAATCTTCTAAAATCATTTCCTATATCTTTGTTTTTCAGAAGAAAGCAAAGAAGTCCAAGTGCCAAACAGGTGATTCCCAAAGGAAGAAGGATATTGTGACTTTTTTCTTATTTCAATTGTGACAAATCATCCCTGTTAAGAAAATTGTTATTGACTGTGTGGATATAAAAAAGAATTCATGGATTATATATATTTGTGAAAGAGTTTAAACCAATTAAATCCATAGGAAGTACTATATTTTTTTGTTTTAATTTTTTTCAATCCTTTTAAACATGTTAGAAATGTTCTGAAAACGATTTTAAAAATGTTTTAAAAACGTTTTCAAAAATGTTTTCCAAACATTGCAGGACAATGTTTTTGAAAAACGTTATGATAACGTTTAAAAAACCATACAAAATAACGTTGTAATAACGTTTTAGAAAATGTTTTTATAACATTTTGAAAACGTTTTGATAACGTTGTTGTGCTACCTGGGATGTCCTCGATAAAAACATATTTATTTCCTTGTTAAAAACGATTTACATTAAAGATTTGAATTATCTACAAAATCTTAAGCTTCCGTGTCTTGCTGTAACATAATTAGAATTGAATATAATAAAGTGTTATGATATTTTCGTCCTTGCTTACAGAACCAATGAAGGATCATGTATCCATATCCATAAGTATTTTGAAATCTGAGTATTATTTCAAAGTCCACTGACGTTTAAAAGCATGATTGCAATTGATATACATTTTCTATTCCCTTTAAATAAAGAGAGTTGCTATTAAAAATTAACAATTTGACACATATGATGGCATACTTATCCCCACATAATGTTTGTCAATATAGCCTATCATGTTAAGTCAAGATAAGTATATCATCAAGTGATGAAAACTTCAGTTTTGTCGTCAAACACCGACTTTTATCCTGTATAGTCAAATTAAGTTATCGTTTTATTGCTATCTCAATATAAAAAATAATTATCTTACATAATGACTAAATGTTACCCGTTATGTCGGGAAAGTTATTGTAATATCTTACTTGAAAGAGAATCCACAATGGAATTTTAATGATTGAATTCAAGGGACTTGATATAATAAATTGATATTTGTTTATCTTTTTCAAGATTTTTGGAACAGTGTTGTTTGTCTACTGATCACACTGAATTCAAAATTTTAATGATTTTAGATAATGATAGATATGTTTTGAAATACATGAGGTTAAAAGGAAAGAGCCGTCATGAAATTGATACAGTATCCATTAGTTTATATTGGATATAAATTTCAAGAGATTTTTGTTTTGTAGCATGTATGAAAGACAGTGACAACAATCCTAAAATTGTGTCCAAACCCATCATTATCATGTTAATGTACAGTGTGAACTCCCATTGTGTTGCTGTGCATCAGTATTTTAGATGTATATTTAAATTATCCATAGTCACTCAAAGTCTACCAGTAAAACCTGCCTTTAAGTCAATTTTGGATTTATGTAACTTCCACCTGTACTGAATAAGAGACGTTTTAAACAATTGTGTATCAAGTGCCCGTGTTACTACTACCTATACTGACTTATAGTTGTTTTTAAAAATGTGTTTCAAAGCCAAGTTTGTTTTACCACTTGTACTGAAATAGAGTTGTAATTAATATTTGTATATAATGCTATGTATGTGTCTCAAGACTTGTACAGAATCAGAGATTTTCTCAAAAACATTATGTTTCAATGCCCTGTGTTACTGCCACCTGCACTGTAAGGAAAAATCTGTATGGAAGTCTATGTATATATCGGTCACAAATATAGATTAGCTGTAAGGAAAAATCTGTATGGAAGTCTATGTATATATCGGTCACAAATATAGATTAGCTGTAAGGAAAAATCTGTATGGAAGTCTATGCATATATCGGTCACAAATATAGATTAGCTGTAAGGAACAATCTGTATGGAATTCTATGTATATATCGGTCACTAAATTAGAGTTGCTGTAAGGAACAATCTGTATGGAATTTTTTGTATATATCGGTCACTAAATTAGAGTTGCTGTAAGGAAAAAATATGTATGAAAGTGTATGTATATATCGGTCACTAAATTATGTTGCTGTAAGGAAAAATCGGTATGGAAGTATATCTATATCAGTCACATAACTCAATTATCTTATGGCAGATAACATTTGTCAGGCATATAATAATTTGTCTGTTGTATTAGACACATCTCATTATTTTACGCATTATATTCAATTTTCAGAAATAGATTTCTGATTCATCTTTGTAGCCTCTGTTTATAAATCTTGTTTATTAACATTCTTTGTGCCGCGGGCCTATTTGGGGCCAAACCTGATTGTGACGTTTCGCCATCAATTTGAGTTTCGCGCCATTTAGCCTGTTGTTACAGAGAACACTCATTTTGGAATGAGAGTACCAAATCCCCGGATGAGCACATGGCATTGTTTGTGGCAGAATGTAGAGTCGAGTACTGAATAGGTCGGCATTACCTGATTGGCTGAAATGAGGTATGTAATGTTTTTCATTTTAAA